TGTCCCAGCGGCAAGGTGGAAGGGTAAGTCACAGCCCACGGGCACCACTGCTGTAAAGCCGGAAGGAGTCCTAGCATGTCACCCAGCCCCGATAGCGGTGACCACTGTCCCTAGGTCCCACCCGAGGGAGCGTGACACATTCCCAGAGGTGAGCATGTCCTCCCCTGTGGCCAAAAGAACTTTTGACCTGGCAGTGTTCCCTTTCATTGCTGGAGTGGGTCTGGGGTGCACAGCCTGCACCTGCCCGTGCGGGCAGGGAGGGACCTGTGGGGTGTGACTTGGGCTTCCTTTGGTCACGAAGATGGAAGCTCTTTAATCCTCCAGAGGTGTTTGATGGGCAGAGCCTGGAGCCCCGGGACTTGAGGAGCAGAGTAGAGGGGCTGCTGCAGGCCAGGTGTTTTAGGTTGCAGTGAGGAAAGGAAGCACAAGGCCCAGCCCGTGTCCTCCTACAGCGTTCCCTGTGCCTTTCTGAGGTGAAGAAGAGCTGGCCATTCACATCCGCATTGTGCTACAGCTGCGACTGTTGGAGGACAGGTCTGCGTGGTGACCCAGGGGACTGGGGGTCGCCTTTGCAGAGAGCTGGGGTGTGGAGATGGACAGCTGGGGCACAGTGAGGTCCAGCTGCTACACCTGCTGAGATGCTGGCAACCTTGAGCAAGAGAGGAGCGGGCAGGCAACACTGACCAGCACCCACAACCTGTGTGCAGGAGCTCTGAGGGGACAGAGTGGTCAGCCCCGTCACTCTTCACGGCCATTTGTGTGGGCCGAGAGAGCAGCACTGGCGCTCACCTCCACTGCGCTGCTCAGCACGTGTGCAGGGCACCCTGGGCAGCCCGCCTGGCAGCCTCACATGCCACGTGGGTGTGGGATTCAGTGTCGGCTACCTGTGTGGACAGGAATGTACAGGAGTTGACCTTGTGGAAAGTTCTGTGAATGGGGCTTGTGGTAAATCTTGGCAGTAGATAATCCTCCATAATCTGAAAGGTCTAAATAAAGAATGAATGGTGTTTGTGAAACCGTCCCTCCCTCTCTCCCTCCTTCCTTCCTTTTCTCTTCTCTTCTCTTCTCTTCTCTTCCCCTTCCCCTTCCCCTTCCCCTTCCCCTTCCCTTCCCCTTCCCCTTCCCTTCCGTTCCCTTCCCTTCCCCTTCCCTTCCCTTCCCTTCCCTTCCCTTCCCTTCCCTTCCCCTCCCCTTCCCCTCCCCTCCCCTCCCCTCTCCTCCCCTTCTTCTTTTCTTTTCTTCTCTTCTCTTCTCTTTTCTTTTCTTTTCTTTCGTCTTTCACAGGGTCTCACTATGCAGTTCAGGCTGGCATTGAACTCACTATGTAGCCTAGCCTCAGCCTCCTCTTGACTGCTGGGATTATGCATGTGCACCACCACACCCAGCGAGGCACTGTACTTTCAACCCCAGTTATTAATTCTGACACATAGGAGTGAAATAGCATGTTGATCTTAGTGTAATCCCTATCTTACATTTCTTTGTTTTTTAAGCTGTGTGGTTAGCATGATTTGAAATAAAGTTATTATCTGCTTGCTCAATTAGGATGGCTTTGAAGCAAGACATCATCTCATATAGTTTTTAGATTAAGTTATAAATGTTCACTTTAGAACTACCTGAAGATTGATAGAGATGCATTTGAAAAACATTATTTTTTTATTGATTCTTAATGTAGTAAATTACTGAAGTTATTTGGCAGCAAACTGAAGTGGCCTGTGATGCAGCTCACATTTGTTCTCCTGATAGAGCCACAATTTGCATTAATTGCGTTGCGACTGCACTCACTTATATTAAAAGGCTTCTACCATAATTAATCCTTTTTTATTTCAAATCATTTTGGCACAATTTCTAGCTATAAACACTCATAAAGGATAGACAGTTGGGAAATACATTACGGGCTCTTTCCATATACCTATTGCTAATTTTTCATGACAGGTAGTTATTGATACGCTTCCAGGGACAAGCATGGTGCAACTGGCTGAAAAATGCTAAGTGGATTATTCTGCATAAAAAATGGGTAGTTTTTGAAGTTGTGTAATTAACCTGTGTTTAGAAAATACCTTGATTTATGCTTACATTTGTATCTCGGTTGCATGCATTATGGAAATTTAATTTATAATCCATTTAGCTGATGCAATCATAGTTTTTAGTGCTATCATTTATTAGTGCTTGTATATTAAATGCTCTAAAAGTTTAAACCTGCCTTACATAAAAAATTATACCTATGCATTTACATTTTATGAGTCACAGTGGGATTTTTGTTTGAGATTCAGGTAGCTCTGATACATTTAACAGATCTCAGTGGTTTATTGTTTCTAATGCAGAAATGGCAAACAATGACCTTAGGTATCGAGCATCAGATGATTTACGCGTCTGGTTTACTTTTAAAGCCCACCATACAGATGAGGGCTGTTCCTCGGCCCCTGGCATGCATCACAGAGTTTTATGCAGAACGCGCTCCTTGGTTCTGAACTCATCGTTCATTTAGAAGTAATGGTGCTGATAAGTGCCTCAGGTTAATAGTGCTCACCATTCTTAACTTTGAGCAAACCCTGACTTTCTGGAGTGACTCCTTATTTACATTTATCAATGGATGGTGGGGTGCTGGTTGCCATTTTATCCTCATTCTCACATTAGGAGGTCCTTTTTTTGTCATCTTTTTCAAAACTAATTGGAAATCTTCAGTCTTTGGATCAGAACTAAAGCATGGCTCCCTGTGTTGGCCAGGCCAGGAGAAGTGCTGTTCATAGAGTGTCTGTCCATGGCTTTGGGTTCCCAGAGTACAGCTCCAGTAACGGGGAGGTGTTCACAACCGTTTCTAGTTTCCTTGGGTCCTGTCAGCAGGGAGTGTTTAAAGTGCAGGCCTTGGTGTACCTGGAACACCCCAGTGCAGGTATCTAAGGGCTGGTGACCCAGTAGACAAAGCAGAGGCTCTCCGGCATTGAGTTCACACCACCCTGCCTGAGTGTGTGCAGGGCGGTCTGGTTGGAGGGCAGTCACCCCACTGCTGAGGTTTGGTTTTACTGTGCCATTGTGGAGTCGCTTGCCCGGCAGCACTGGGCCCTCCAAAGCTCAGGTGCCAAGGTGTGGATACAACCTTGGCCTCTCTGTCCTTTCTGATGTCCCAGGGCTCCACCTCTCTCTGCTGGAGAGGGCCTCTGCTGCCAAAGCAAGGGTTCTCCCCTGAGGCAGTGGGGTGGGTGAGTGAGCATTGCCTGGCTTCGCCGTAGACACACATCTCTGCAGCTTTGATCCCTCTGACCCAGAATGCCTTCTTCGAGGGAACCAGCTCCTGCCGTAGATTGGACATTGTCCACAGGGGGCAGGTGGAAAAGGTGTTTTGGTGTCCTGGCTCTGCTCCACATGGCACCTGTTGTTGCAGCTTCCAGATCAGTCTGTTGCGAAGCGAATACAGTAAGTCCCTGACTTAGGAACGAGTTCCATCATGGGAGAATATTCATAAGTCCTACAAAGTGAGTCTTATACACCTCTGACACAGATGTACAGTGTAAAGCATAAAAAGCCAAACCCACATAGAAAAAAACACAGTGAGCTCCCAACAGTACTGTACCGCTCTACACGGTTGCACTGTACAGCAGCACACAGCAGCACAGCTGTGACCGTGTCGGTAGACACGTGAACTTCTTCTGTGATTTGTTCGAATCTACAAATGTTCGTCATGCAAGGCCCATTTGTATTTATGAAAGTTTGCAACTCATATGTTCATAAGTTGGGGATTTACTGTACTAAGAATTTGGAAAATTTCACGGATACTTGCTGCGTTTTGTGCCATTAGCGCGTGTATCCTGACACGTGACCCCTGGCATCATGTTGCCGACTGCCCATAAGTTTACTTTCTGCTTCCTTTGCTGGGGACTCTCCGGTTCCTGTGAAACACTCACCAACACTTGACTGAATCCATTCACTGTTGGGAGGGACAGTGCGGGCCACAGTGGGTGCCGCGGTCCTAGCCAGAATGGCCAACAGGGCCATCGATGGAGAGTGTGGACAGTGGGAGCCCATGTGGGCAGTGCCTTGTGCCCAGCGCTTCTGCCCTCCCCAATCTGCCCTGGGTGTTTATTTGTCAGAGCCAGAAACTAGAAGTAGCTCAGGTGCCTGTCGTCAGGTGGCCTTTTTGGAAACAGCCCTGAGTGCACATAATCCAGTCCAGATTATGGTGGGTTAGAAGGTGTCCCAGTCCAACAGACAGAGTCACTTTAAGAGAAAGGAGAGGACTCAGCACCCAGCACCCAGACAGAGGGTGAGAGGGATGGTGAGAGAGGCAGCGGACACACAGAGAAGATAGGTGTGTGAAGAGGCAGGAAGTGCACCAGTGCAGCCACCGCCTAGGGGACACCAGGACCTGGAAGGGGCAGTGACAGATCCTCTCTTAGTGCCTCTGGAGGGTGGGCAGTCCTGCCGACACGACACACACCTGGACCTCAGCCTCAGCCTGTGTAACTTGAAACAGCACCTTGGTGCTGCTTTGAGTCTCCGTCTCCCTGTTCGTGGCGGTTCGGTGTAGCAGCCACAGGAACCTAACACCACTGCAGAGCCATCTATCCAGCACATTGGCTGACTTCTGCAGTAGCCTGAAGGATGGGGTGTGGCCCCGCAACACCCGCTCTGTGTCCGTATGCTTCAGCCGTGGCCAGCCGCGCCATTCACTCCTCAAGGTGGAGTGTCTACCGTCAGAACCCTGTCAGGGGTTCTACTTGAGCATACGTCCTTTTGTTTGCAGGAAGCACGAAGAAAACATGTAGAGCTGGATGTGGCGGTACAAGCCTGTCATTGCAGCACTCGGTGGGGCAGAAGAGTCCTAAGTTCCAGCCCAACATGGGCGACGCAGTGGGACCCTGCCTCAAAATAAAAAATGTTTTAAAGGGGTTATGGCTGGACCTCAGGGCAGAGGCCCTGAGTTTGGTCCCCATGGCTGTAAGCATAAAAACAGAACCCCACGTGTTAAGTGCTAACTGCCATCCTGTGCTCTGTCTCGTCCAAAGGCTCTCTATGAAAACATGCTAGTGGAGCTCCCCTTCGCTGGCTTCTTCCTGTCTAAGTTGCTGGGAACCAGCGCAGATGTGGACATCCACCACCTGGCCTCTCTGGACCCTGAGGTCTACCGGAACCTGCTGTTCCTCAAAAGCTACGAGGGAGATGTGGAGGAGCTGGGGCTGAACTTCACCGTGGTGAACAATGACCTGGGGGAGGCTCAGGTGAGCTGGCATGCCTGCCTGGCCCGTGTGCCTGCCCTGTCCCATGCGCCTATACCACCGGATGGCTCAGCTGCCATTGTTTCCTATGTGTAGATGTCCATTTGTATTGCCTTCTGTGTGTGTTTGAGTATGTTAGTTGAGGGCCCTGCAATGGGGAACTGGCAGTGGCGCTGGCCCTACTTGGGCCCTTCCTGCTGTCGAACGAGACCTCTGCCACAGGGAAGCCAGTTCTCGTCAGGCTGGGCCTGGCGGCCCCCATCACTCCTCATGCACTCGCAGTGTTGGGCTCTGCCGCTGCTCACCGGGCTGCTCTTGTTGCCACCTCTTCTTCGTAGTGTGGAGCTGAGTGTCTGCAGTTAGGTGTGCAGTGTTGGTGGGAGGCGACGCTTACTGCCTGGCCACCTGTGTCTCCTGGAGCGTTACATCCAGAGGGCAAAGCATGCGCGGCCTCTGCCAGCACGCGCACTGCCTGTCTTGCTCCTGAAGTAGGTGGTGACCGGAAGTGTGACACAAGCCTCCTTTAGAGTGCTGCAGAGAAGATGGGGCCTGCCAGGAGCACGTGGGTTCCAATTAGTCAGAATTTTCCACCGAGCTTAGAAATTATAGATGGCAACATAGAAGAGCAATTAGACCAAAGAGTCTAAGCAGAAAAATGAAGAAGCTCAGTGTGAAGCCACCTAATTTGGAGGAGGATCTTACGGTTTCTGTAGAAGTGGGTATCGATAGGTAGTGCCTCGTGTGGGGTTAAGTAGTTAAATGCCCTGACTGAAAGATCCTAATATGCAGATCTTTCGTCACATGTCGGCCGGTTATGTTTATCCGTTTTCCCTTTTAAAATAATGGGGTGCCCCGTATTTGCTTCCTTTGGACTAATCAGTGTGGCTGTTTGTCGGCTGACTAGTAACATATATGACATTTGGGGCTGTGGTCTCTTCCCATCTTCCTGGAGGAGCCAGCCGAGGGCTCAAGGGGCCACAGGAACATCTACTGGGAGTTGGACTCCTGTGCTGAGACCCGAGAGAGTTAGTTTTGCTGCTTAGCTCTGTGGCCTTGGACAAGTCAGAGGACCCCTTCTATCCTGGTGGGGGTGTGACATGGAACAGGCCACAGCCACAGGGTCATCGGTGTTGTCCCAGCCAACCTTCGGAAGTGCTGTACCCTTCAGCCTGGAGATTTGATGTTCATTTGACAAGGGTTTTAAATGCACATGGTTGTTTAGGGTGAGTTGAGGGGTAGACTTTAAATTAAAAGTAGTGTCGCCAGTTCCAACGTATGAGAAACAGCAGTTTTGTCTAACTAAGCAGCTTGGAAGTTCCTTGAACTGAGAACTTCACTGGTCCTTTGTCTTCCTGATCACACAAGCACATCATCATTTATTACCTGCTTTTAATCCATTTAAGGGAAGGGGTGGTGCTTTATATATGGTGATATAATAGCTGGCCTCTCAAGGCTGGGGTGACAGATGGACTGTCGGAGAGAACCAGCAAAGGAATTAGGGTAATGAACACGGTCCCTGCTCGGCCCAGAGACAATGGGTTGAAAGGCCATTGTTAGACTTGAAGGTTCCAAAGCTAAGAAATGAATTAATAAGAAGATCACATCACCATTTTAAATGTGAAATGCTAAGAAAGCATATCAGACAAATATAACACTCAGGCTTCAAGCTACCTAACTTTTATAAAGTGAGAACCTGCAGACTGCTCTGTTCTGCAGCCACAGATTCAGGGCAGTGTCAGTGACGCGCTTCAGCCGTGCTGAAATAATCTTTCTGTGAAGTGGTTAAACGTCGGGGTATGGAGGCGATTGCCCTATGGCACAGTGCTCACTTTTAATCTGGGCATAGGAAGGGTACGGGGGGATTGAAGGGTATGGAGTTTGGGGATGCAATACTAACCATTCCCCCCCAAGCAGAGATCTGAGGGTCTCTATAGCCAGCCTGGAGACTACATTGGGCTGCCCCTTGGTGTCCACTTAACAGTGCCCTTGTTAATACGGACACCTGTAGTCTGCTCCTTTAGTTTATTTTATATGCTCTTTATCCACAGCATAGCTTATTCTTCCTCCAACTCCAAGAATGCAGTTCTTTTATATCAGAGGTTGAACTTGGAGCTTCATGCATGTTAGGCAAGTGCTTCCTCATGGAGCCAATAAGGAATTCTTTTTTTTTAGAGGGAGTAATGAAAAAAGAACAACAACAAAATAAAGAATTCTTAAAGTACACCCTTTTAAATGTTTCCATGTTTGCTATGATCTGAGATCGTTGCTTATCAATTTTATATATATGAGTCCACATAATCACAGCAGTCCTGAGGTAGACAAGGCAGATTGCTGCACATTACTGTTGAGGAAAATTCAGAGGCCTGGTGGCATTCTGTGGCCATGCCTCACCTGAGAGCTGGAGTCCATACGTCAGTGTTTCAGCCTATCTTAGGGGCACTGCCATGATGCTCACAGATTTCTTGAGCCCTGTTCCAGACCCACATCATTCGTGAGCACAACTATGTCCTGAGAAGCACTATTCTTACTAATTCCGTTCATGCGCGGGAGACATTGGCTAATCCTGTATCTCTGCCACTACCTTTTAAGTCATGCTTCAGAAGCATTAAGCAAGCCAGGTGTGGTGGTGCACGCCTCTAATCCCAGCACATGGGAGGCTGAGGCAGGAGGATCCTCTTGAGTTCGAGACCAGCCTGGACTACAAAGTGAGCTCAAGGTCAGCCTGAACTGCATAGCGAGACCCTGTCTGAAAAAGACAAAAACAAAAAAAAAACAGATACATTAAGCAGTAATGACATTCTAGAAATGCAAAGTATGGGGAGTGCTGCATCTGTAATTGTACTGCAACAGCCCTAATTCCTTCCAGTGTATTTTCTCTGAAAGGAATCCCTTGCTTGACGTGGTGACGCACGCCTGTAATCCCAGCACTGGGGAGGCTGAGACAGGAGGATCCTTGGGAGTTTGAGACCAGCCTGGGCCATAAAGTGAGCTCAAGGCCAGCCTGAACTGCAGAGCGAGACCCTGTCTCAAAAATAGACAAAAACAAAAACGAAAACAAATGAAAGGAATCCCTTTATTTTGTTCTCACTTGCCATGATCCTTTGGTTCTTCTCTTTGCCCTTTGTGGTCTCTCGCTTTTTAGAAAGGGAATTGCTGCAATGACATTGCGTCACAGTCCCCCATATTCCAGAGCAAGCAGGGGTGCTTGATGATCTTAAAGGTAGAATAAGCTGCAGAACCCAGATGAACCAGTGCCCAGATACACCTGAGCTTACGTGCAGTGCTTATACTGGTTGTACTGGGTTGTAAATTTAGACTCTTGCTTTTGTGTTGTCCTGCCAGACTCTGAGGGTTTTGATGACTGTGCTTTCTGCTCACAGGTGGTTGAACTAAAATTTGGTGGGAAAGATATCCCTGTGACCAGTGCCAACCGCATTGCCTATATCCACCTGGTGGCTGACTACAGGCTGAACAAGCAGATCCGCCCACACTGCCTGGCGTTCCGACAGGGCCTAGCCAATGTCGTCAGCCTGGAGTGGTTGCGGATGTTTGATCAGCAGGAAATTCAGGTACTCTGCCTGCTGACTCTGGGACACAGTTGTCTCAGGAAAATAAGGGCTTTCTTATTAAGAGCTTTTCTAGTCAGGCTGGGTGTGGTGACACACAGCTGTAATCCCAGCTCTTCCAGAGGTGGAGGCAGAAAGAAATGTAATTTTGAGGCCACCCTAGGCAATTTCTTGAGATCCCAATCGCAGAATAAAACCTTAGCCAGGCGTGGTGGCGCACATCTGTGCTTCTAGCACTCAGGAGGCTGAAGCAGGAGTATCAGTGTGATTTTGAGGCCAGCCTGGGCTACATAGTGAATCCAGGCCAGCCTGAAGTAATTAGCGAGGCCTGTCTCCAAAAAAAAGTCATAATTAAAAAAAAAAAAAAATAGCCGGGCATGGTGGCGCGCCATGGTGGCACCTGTAATCCCAGGATTCGGGTGGCTGAGGCAGGAGGATCATTGTGAGTTCGAGGACAGTCTGGGCTACAAAGTGAGTTCAAGACCAGCCTGAACTGCATAGCAAGACCCTGTCTCAAAAAGATCAAAAAATAAAAGTAAAAAAATAAAACCTTAAAGGGGCTGGGCTGTGACTGATTGTTTGCAGAGGGTAGAGTTCCTGCCTAGCACAGAGCTCTGGGTTTTGTTCCCAGTAGCCAGCCAGCCTCTGCGCGCACACCTTGATTTTTACAATTTGAACTTTTTTTCAGGTATTAATTTCTGGTGCACAAGTTCCCATAAGTCTGGAGGACCTAAAATCCTTTACAAACTATTCAGGTATGTTACTCAGCGGTTCCAGTCTGAAGTGCTGAAGGAGGGGCCTCCAATCCCCCGCTGCCCAGGGACTGGTTGTCCCGGAGCCCTGGAGACTGGCAGGCAGCGCACACACGCTGCACCCCCGGCTGGTGAGCTGGGGGTGGGGGTGGAGACCTGGGTTCAAGCAAGTGCTTCGCTAGCCTGCAGCCGTAGGCGTGGTCCCCAGCACCAAGAATGAGTCCATGGATGGAATGAAGCACAGTGAGGGAAGACTGGAAATGGACCACATCAAAATTTTCTTTTTCTACTTAATTTTACTTTTCAATTAAAAACTTTAAAAAAAAAAAAACCACAGGTGGGACAAAGTTTTCAGATGAATTTGTATCCAGAGTGCATGAACACCTCTAAGTGTGTTGATAAGGAACATGCAAAGGTAAAAACCTTGAGTTACGTAACCTCCTCTGTCGGAGTTCTGGCCTGGCCAGGGAGGGCTTTGGGAGATGGGCACAGCATCACTGCCCAGAGCCACAGACCACCACCGAACGGGGTGCACAGGTGCATCTGCCATCTTGGGAGTGTTTCTGACTTTCTTAGGTTTATTTGTAATGAGCTTCATGTATACTTGGTAACAAAAGAGAAAAAATATACCCTTAATACTGGTATTCTAAGCCAGCCACTGTTCTGTTGTCATGTTCACTTGTTTTGTTTTTTTATTATATGTAGTTTATAAGATACTTTGCAAGTTTTGTTTAGCATCAGTATTAAAAATTACTTCACACTGGGGCTGGGGATTTAGCTCAGCTTCAAAGCGCCTGCCTGGCAAGCGCAAGGTCGTGAGTTCAGTTCCCGGTACCAGAGAAAAACCAAAAAAAAAAAAAAGACAAAATTACTTCACACTAGCTGTGGTGGAGCACTTGGGAGGTTGAGACCGGAGGAGCACCACAATTTGAGGCCAGCCCGAGCTACCTGGGAAGGCCCTGTTTAAAATAAATAAAAAGTGATATTAATGCCAGGTGTGGTGGCACACATGTGATCCCGTCTACTGGAAAGGCGGAGGCAGGAGCACTGCAAGTTCAAGTCCAGCCTGAACTGCATAGTGAGACCCTGTCTAAAAAACTGTTTCTTAAAAATAATATGGCATCATGAGTCATGAATCCCTATTGTTAATATATGCCCTGGGCATATTCAAGTGTTGTATATCTCTTAGAAGACACTTAAAATCTATTCTTGGTGGACATGGTGCAGGCCTGTAATCCTAGCACTCAGGAGACTGAGGCAGGAGGATTGTTGTGAGTTAAGACCCGCCTGAGCTACAAAGTGAGCTCAAGGCAAGCCTGAACTGCATAGCAAGACCCAGTCTCTAAAAAGACAAACAAAAAACTGAAAATCTATTCCTAAGTAAAGCAGATCATGTGGATGGGGAGGGGTTTGAATAGACACCCCTCCGAAGACACGGACAATAATGATGCCCAGCATTGCTGATCATCAGGAGAAAGCATATCAAATCAGAACCACAATGAGCTCCACTGTACGTTAAATAGGAATGGCTAGTGCTGGACGAGGTGGAGAAAGTGGGACCTCAGTCATGGCTGTGGAATTATGAAGTGGTGCAGCTGCTGTGCAAAGCAGTTTGGATCTTTGGATCCTCTGCAAACTAACGTGGTCTTAGGGTATGGTTCAGTGGCAGAGCGCTTCGTGTGTCCAAGGCCCTAGATTTGGTCCCTAGCATCACAGGGAAAGAAAGGAAAAGGCCAGGTGTGATTATATATACCTGTAATCCTAGCAGTCTGGGAGCCTGTGGCAGGAGGATCACAAGTTTGAGCCCAACCTGAGCAACTTAACAGTTTAGGCCATCTGAAAAAAAGGGCTTACATGTAGCTCACTGCAAAAGCCCTGGGATCAATTCCCTGTACTCCACACATGGCATCATAAAAAGAGAAAAATCCCAGCACTCAGGCTGAGGCAGGAGGATTGCCATGAGTTCCAGGCCACCCTGGGCTACCTAGTGAGTACCAGGCCAGTCTGAACTACAAAAGAAAAGCCCTGTCTCAAAAGAAAAGCAGGGGGTGGGCGGCGCTGGGGATTTAGCTCAGCAGCACAGCACCTGCCTGGCAAGTGCAAGATCATGAGTTTAATTCCTGGTACTGGGGGGAAAAAAAAAAAAAAAAAAAGGGTGGAAACCTAAACAGAATTCTGTGATCCGGCAACTTGATTCCTGTGTGTGTAAACCTAAAGGAGCTGAAAGCCAGCATACTGTTCCTGAGCAGAACGAGGCAGACACAAAAGGACAGGTGTTGGGTGGTTCAGTTTGTGTGAGTCACTTGGAGTGGCAAGTCCTTGTGCTCCCCAATAGCATGGAGCCCTCAGGGCTACAGAGAGGAGGGGGAGTTCCTGCCTAGAGTAGTAGAGCTCCTGGGAGAAAGGGTGGGAATGGAGGCAGCTCCTCTGAGTTGTACACTTACCATGACTGAAAGGTGAATATTAGTTCTGAATTTACCACAATAAGAAAAAAGAGGGGCTGAGGATGTAGCTCAGCAGCACAGCGCCTGCCTGGCAAGTGCAAGGTCGTGAGTTTGATTCCCGGTACCAGAAAAAAAAAAGCAAAAGGAAAAAGGAAAACTGTACAGGTCCCCCTGTTCTGAGGAACGCTGTTTGTATATTAAACGTCTGGAGATCAGGTTTGCAGAGGCGAACGGTCCATGGTGCCTGTGGGGTCAGAGTAGGATCTCAGAGGAAATGGGAGTATCTAAAACCTGGGCTGTATGAATGGTTGTAAAAGTCTTAATTTGTTAAAAACCACTCTGTGTGTGTGTGTGTGTGTGTGTGTGTGTGTGTGTGTGTGTGTGTGTGTACTTATATGTATGTGTAATTAATCTGTATTGTTGTAAATTAATTTTTACGTGAAGGCAAATAACACCTAAGGTCACATCCCCACTTGATAGTCATAAGTTTGAGAAAATGAAATCAGTCTGACCTTCCCTTTGCCAAGAAATTGTCACGGGTGTTTGCATTACCCTGGGTGCACTGAAAGCAGCTTATACCTTTAATGATCTTAGCTATTCCAGTAAATAGGACTAAAATATTATCATTCATTTTGGTGCCAATTAATGCACTTAGGATATTTTATTGATGTTATTTCTGTAGTGTATTAACAGTGGGGGAACAATATATAGCAATTATTTTAGTTTTAGGAAGCACTTAAGGAGATTAAAAGCTGTAAGTAGCAGATACTACATTTCAGAACAGTGGTCTAATCACTTGTGGGGCTGGTCATTGGCCATGGTCTTTCCCTTATTATCAAAGAGAGGTGATAAAATTAACGTAGACACCAAAATGGTAGTGACCAAATGTATAGCTGTACAGGAATATAAAAACTCCAGTGTCGGCCAGGCGAGGTGACGCACGCCTGTAATCCCAGCACTCGGGAGGCTGAGGCAGGAGGATCGTTGCAAGTTCGAGACCAGCCTGGGCTACAAAGTGAGCTCAAGGGCAGCCTGGACTGCACAGCGAGACCCTGTCTCAAAAAGACAAAAAAAAACCTTCAGTGTTTGTTTCTGAGATTTGTTGGCAAAAGATGAAGCTGTTCGTTGAGGGTGTGCCCAACAGTGGTGTTGATTTCTAACTAACATAGTTCTTAAAAGCCAGGTGACTCGCAGGATGGCCTTCCCTAGTGATGGCCTTGTTAGCCCAGTGCCCCAGCTCTGCCTGTCACCTCCAGGGGACTGGGGTCGAGTGTCCTAGAAATTCCAACCGCACACCGTGCCCTGCCTCACCACAGCTGGCGGAGGCAGACCAGTTCATTGCCTTAAGGTCATTAAGAGAACCCTGCTTTTGCGCACTTGCTTTTAATGCCTGTCTGTTCTTGTGTTCACTGTGTCACAGGAGGGTATTCTGCTGATCATCCTGTCATCAAAATCTTTTGGAGAGTTGTAGAAGGTTTCACTGATGAAGAAAAGCGCAAATTGCTCAAGTTTGTAACAAGTTGCTCTCGGCCCCCTCTCTTGGGTTTTAAGGTACACAATTTCATGCCACTTGCTTCTTTACAAAGTACAAATTAGCTATGGTCTGTATGTCACAGTGACTGGTGGCTCCTTGTGTTGATTTTTTTGGGGGGTTGGGGGGTGCAGAACTGGTCGTCGAACCGGGGATATATCTCAGTGGCACAACACCTGCCTGGTAAGTGCAAGATCCTGGGTTCGATTCCTGGTACTTAAAAAAAAAAAAAAGACTTGGGCATGAAACCCAAGACCTGGCACGTAGCCTTCTGACTTCTGGCGTTCACTCTTGGCGCAATGGCTATGCATTTTGGCCATAGCTACCTGGGGCTGTGGAAGGAGGGACAATCTCAAGGGCAAACCCTGTATGTCCTAAACCCACAGTGCAGCTTGAAGAAGTTGTTTCTGCCCTGACCTGAAAGCGTTGGTCTCGTGTGCGTGAGCAGAAGCCATTGCATTAGTGCATGTTAGCGGTGCATGCCAGGGGTGTTCACTGGGGAGCTGGAGCACGTGTACGACACACCTCTCGTTTCCAATCCCCTCTACCTCCTCCTGTCTTCCCTCCCACTCCCTGACCCCTTCTCCATGTGCAGAGATTCTGCCTGAGCAGAAGTAAATTTTTGTCCTGTTACTCACTTTGTATTGCCTACCTTTATTTTCTTCCGAAAATTAATGTTGATCTCATATAACTTGGCTTATGTTTAGCAGTTAAGCTGCTTGAGGCACATTTAATATTTCCTGTATTCGTGGTAAATTGAAAAGTAGTTGGCCGAAGATACAGCTCAGCAGCACAGTGCCTACCTGGCAAGCACAAAATCATGAGTTCCATTCCCGGTACCAACAAATAAAATAAAAAGTAGTATTTGTCCTGAACTAGGCAGAGTGGCACACATTTTTAATCTCAGCTCTGGGAAGACAGAAACAGGAGGATTCCCTCCAGTGTGAGGCCAGCTTAGGCTGTAACGGCAAGAAGAAACACCAACATGACACCTAGGATTTGAAGGCAGTTTTATTTACATCAATGGGCTCTGATTCAGATCATTCCCAAAATGTCAGGCCCTGATCTGTGGTGGTCTAGGGCCTTAATGGGATAAGCAAGGAGGATGTAACAGCAGCAGAATGGCTTGTCAGTTGGAGATTGGTTCTTGCAATATGCATCATAGTAACCAGCCATTTCTAAGAAACAAAAGTAGCAGGAACTGTAACCAGAACTGTTACCTGGGCAACTAACAAACTGAAATATACTGGTGAGGGGGAGGGGAGTATCTTCTGCTACAGGGTTACATAGTGAAACCCTGTCTCCACAAAGGAAAAAAAACAGTTAAGAGTGTCCAGTGAGCTGGGCATGGTGGTGCATGCTTGTAATCCCAGCACTCTGGAGGCTGAGGCAGGAGGGTAGTTGCAAGTTTGAGACCAGCCGGGGCTACAAAGTAAGCTCAACGCATAGCGAGACCCTGTCTCAAAAAAAAAAAAGTGTTCAGCAGTATAGGAAAATAACAGCTCAGGTAAGCATTGTGCATTGCTTGTGTTTGTGAACCTCACAGGTATGCATTCACCTTCAGCTAAGCTGCACATTTCTGAGTGAAGGTGACTGTAGCTTTCTGCTTGAAAGTTCCATTAAACATGCCAAAAAGTTGCAAGAATTGGGTGGAGGCTCCTGCACCCACTGTGGCCAGTGTTGACCTGGGTGGTACACATTTGGTCTTCTGTCCGCTGCATTCACAGTGACACGTCTGTAATTCCAAGTGAGTGATTTGAGAGTAAATTGGAGACACTGGGCTTTTTATTTCCTAAGTAGTTCACCACATAGTACTTAAAAATAGAAACAGTCTTGGCAAGCATGGAAGCACATGCCTGTAATCCTAATGCTCCGGAACCTGAGGCAGGAGGATCACCATGAGTTCAAGGCCACCCCTGGCTACGAAGTTCAAGGCCAGCTTAGTTACATAGTGAGACCCCCTCTCAGGGAGAAAAAAATAGCAAGTGTCTTAAAAACCACAATGAAAAGGTTACAGTCCATTTGACTATATTTGTGGACTCTCTGGTCCACAATTTGCACATGTCCTGGGACCAGCACCTTCAGTGCTCCTTGAGCTTGCTAGGAGGGGAGAGTGCTTAGCTAGCATGTGCGCGGCCCGACATTTGACCCCAGTGCCACAGAGAAGGAGCTGAGAGAGCAGACAGTTCCCAGCCCCATTAAGCCTGCTGCGTTAAGCCCCTGAGGTGAGTTCAGCTGCACGGCCTCCTCGCCTGTCCTGCAGGTATTCGGGAATGTGCTGAAGTGAACCAGCTGTCTCTTAGTCCCAGCGCAGTCTGTTCTGCCCATTCTGGGTCCAGCCAGAGCTGCACTGGCATCCCATGGACACAGGCAAGGCCCTCGGTGTCGCAGAGCAGCTCCCTCCGCTCCCAAGACTGTGCTCATGACAGAGACCATGTTTGTGCACACGATGTCTGCAGGACGGTCCCAGCTGGGAACAGTCCACGTGTTGTCAGCTGGTAAAGAGGCGCTACACGGGAATCCCGAGGAGCAGCTGCATCGGAACACTGAGGGCATTGTGCCAGTGGGGAGAAGACGGGCACGGCTACGTGCTGCAGAGTGCCGTCTGCATGAATCATAGTCCAGGCTCCCTGGGGCCGGAGGTAGAAGTGGGGTCTGTGAGCGACATGAAATAGCCCAAAGCTGGGTTGTAGGGATGGTGCCGGGAATCTGTGAATTCGCTGCAGTCACCGAGTTGTGCATTTAAATGAGCAAATCTGCAGTAGGCAAATGATACCTTAATTAAGCTGTCCTGGAAATCGCCACTCGTGGTTAGCACAGCACCCAGGCTGTGCCCAAGAACAGCTATGACAAAGCTGTGTGGAGAGGGTACCATGCAGCTGCAGCGCCCCTGTCAGGATGTCAGGTCAGTCAGTGAGGGGGCTGTGGGTATTTAACCTCCGGGCAGGTGACGTCATCTGATGATGTGGTAGGACCAGAACCCCTCCTGGAGGGCCCTCAAGCTGAGAAGAGCCAGCCACATTCACCGGGAGGGTGACAGCACGCATCACAGAACGGTGAGCATTAGTTCAGGGAGGCCGGAACTGCTGCCAGAGACGGAGGCTTTTAGTCTGGCTCGGTGGCCACCATACCACACACTGCGCAGAGGGACCAAGGAAGGCGTCACAGTGCTCCTGGACAGACGCAGAGGCTCCCCTCACCGCCTGCCCGGTGATGCGAACAGTCCTGTGAGTTCTTCCATCTTCGAAGTTTAGTCCCTTGGGAATTTTATCCAGGACATTGACCCTGAGACACAGGCACTAGCACTTTATTTCAGAGCCATGCTGAGGCCAGAGTTGGAAGCCCAGGAGCCTGGAGACCTGCTCTCATCTAACCCACGAGAACCCAGAGGGTTGGGCAGGTCCCGCCCAGCATGGATGCCGCATTAGGACTGATGTCTCAGGCAGGGTGACAAGCATCCCTGAATAGTCCTAACAGACTTGTCATGTCATGGAAGATCCTTTTTTAGAAGCTAGGAAGCAGCCGGGGATATAGCTTCAGTGGCATAAGTGCCTCCCGGGCAAGCACAAGGTCCTGAGTTCGATTCCCACTACCAAAAAAGAACAGAAAAGAAAAGAAACTGAGACGCTAGAAAGCAGACTGGATTTTTTTTTCTCAGTGATCCAGCATGTGAAGTGATTTGTTACCGCTGTTTTGTTAGACTTGGGGTTGGGGAAACCCACCCAGATGGGTGCAGAAGGACCGTGCTGCAGAAGGGCCTTGAGGACCCTGGGGTGCGGGCAGCCCAGGCAGGCAGGCCTCGACTGGACGTCAGGGGGTTCTGTAGTGCCAGGCTATTGAAGAAGGATGGCACCTGCTAAAGCTAATTAAACTTCAGTATGTTTAATGAATGTGATTGTTACAGACAAAAAATCATTAAAGTGCTATAGAAAATTGTTGAGTTACCAGCAGGCCACAGAACAGATTGCTAATTTCTCTCACTCTGAATTAATGCGAATTCTCATTGTACTGCATTTAGTTAGGCACGGGTGGTACCCGGGAACCAGATTCCAGTGAAGAGCCATTTTGTCACTCCTGAGACTCTTCGGAGATGGTGTTAGTGCCATGAAGGAAACATTGAAACGTAGCGTTACTTTGACTGTGTCTAGATGTCCCCCCAAACCCTCATGAAGTCACAGGTGGAGCTTTTTCAGAGGTGGCTGGGTCTAGAGTGTGTGATTGATTCATGGTGCAATACTAGGATTAAGGGTGCTAGAATTAGGGGTGAGTACTTACTAAATCAGTCCATTAACTGCAGCCGAGCATGGTGGCTCACACCTGTAATCCCAGCACTCAGGACCCTGACGCAGGAGATTTGCCCTGGGTTCAGGGCCAGCCTTCACTACATAGTGACACTGTCTGAAGCAAAATCCACTGATTGGTTTGGGACTGCCCTAGACTCAGTAGTCTGGATACAGTGTAAGGGACAGAGAGAGGCTCGTCTTGTCCCTTGCTGGCTTTGCTACCTTCTGCCTGCCATGAACTGCTTCTCCTCTGCGTTGCCCTCTGCCGTGCCACCTTGCCTTGGAGCTGGCCTGCTGTGCACTGAAAGCTGCACAGACTGAGCTCAATAAGCCTTTCCTCCTTTAACTTTGGGCATCGGGTATTTTAGCTCAGCAACGAGAACAGTAGGCTCTGTCTCACAGCACAGAGCCTCAGGCGTCTGTGTGCCGGTGCCCTTGCTGGGAGCACCGGTCGCTGCCCGGACCGTTGCCGTCTCTCACATGAGGCAGCTGCATTTCAGTTTACGTGGGCACTGGAGAGAGCCGTCGGCCCCTGTGCTCAGAATGCTGAGAGTAAATGTAATGCTTGCTACTGCTGGTTCTCCTGGGTCCATGTTTTGACACTGTAGGCCCATTACAAAGAGATTTCTTTCTCCTTTTTCTTTTGTTTTGTACCAGGAATCGAACTCAGGACCTTGCACTTGCCAGGCAGGTGCTGTGCCACTGAGCTAAACCCCCGGCCCTGCCACATTATTTCTTCAAGTTTGTATGCAGCAGTAAGAGGTCCACAAGGTGGGAAGGAGCATTTATGCTCTGCAGCATTCTGTGGGCTGCACCTCCTCGGCTCTGGTCTCGTCGTAACTCACGGTAAATTCCACCCAGAGATGAACCTGTGGACACGCCATCAGCCGCAGGAGCCCACACACAGTGTGTCCGCCCTGTGTGCCCAGGTCCCCACAGGGGAGCCGTGCTCAGCTTCCTGTCTACAGCACGCCCAAAGGGGAGGGCACCACTGTCTGAGGTGCTAGGTTTTTATTGCATATAACAAAATTGACGCAGGGCTGGGGATTTAGCTCAGCGGCTCAGTGCCTGCCTGGCAAGTGTGAGGTCATGAGTTCGATTCCTGGTACTGGAAAAACAAACAAAAAATTGATGGTTTTATCGTAGAAAATGGAAAAACATGGCTAAGGGTAGGAAGGAAGATATCTACAGTCTCTCCTGTTGATTTAGACTTCAGGGTAGCACAGTCGAATCAGGACCTCACGCCTGACAGGCAAATCTCTCCTATTGAGATTGTTGCGCTGTTAATATTCCTGTTTCCTTGTACCAGGGTTTGCGCCCAGGGCCTGCCCAGGGAGCCACATCCCCAGCCCTTTATTTTGTATTTTGAGACTGGGTCTTGATCAACTGCTGTTGCCCAGGATAGCTCAAACTTGGCAATCCTCATGGCCCAGCCTCCTGGACTCCTGGGATGACGGGTGTGCACTGCCGTGCCCGCCTGCTGGTGGCTGGAAAGTGGAGTTTGCCCTACTCCTGCTTGCAGCACTTGGGCACACTGCCTAGGTTCCGCCCTCAGCACTGCTGTCTCAAAAGTCTTTCCCCGCAGGCCGGGACGGGGCAGGTGAAGGGCACAGTGCTCAGTGTTGGAGGAGAGTGCAGGAGTCACCTTTCTCGCAGCTTGCACCGACAGCCTGCAACTCCGGATGCTCACGTGTGGAGGAAGGTGCAGGTGCTGGCAATCCGTGACCAGTCGAGGTCCACACGAAGCGAGCACATACTGCCCCGCAGCCAGTCTGTGCCGCAGTGGGCCTGACTGTGCCCAGGTGACTCACTGAGTCCTTGTAAAATGCTGAGACAGCCCCTCAATAACCATAGTCATGCTGCTGCACGGGTAGGATGCTGGGCCGCCTCAGGAAAGAAGGGGAACCAAGGTAGGGCAGAGTCACCAAGACCCATCACCACCAACAACCACACATGCGGGCTCTGAGCCACGCCGTGGCCTGACATTGGACTGGAAGCGTGGAGGGAGTGCGTGCTTCCTGGTCTTGGGACTAGACCTCCGTGTGAGCATGTCTAAGCCACCAGGAGGGCCTGTTGCTCCTGGCAGGGACCTGGGAATCCACAAAATGGAGATGAGCATTTTTACATGGCACCTAGGGCCGGGGATATAGCTCAGCAGTACAGTCGCCTGCCCAGCAACTGCCCAGCAAGCACAAGGTCCTGAGTTCAGTTCTTGGTACCCAAAAAAAAAAGAAATACATGGCACCTAAACAACCAGGATATCGTCCCACACCTTGGGAGGGGCAGTGCTTGGGACCTGCCTTTCACATTGCCCTCGCTCCCACTCACCTGCCCTCCTTCCCTGCTGCTCGTGGTTGGCACAGAAAAACCCCATCTTAGGGGCTGGGGATTTAGCTCAGCGGCAAAAAGTGCCTGCCTGGCAAGCACAAGGTCGTGAGTTCGGTTCCCGGTACCGGAGAAAAACCAAAAACCAAAAAAAAAAAAAAAGAAGAGCCCCATCTTCTCTGGTGTGGCTGCTGCAGCTCTGTAATCTGTCCCATCCCGGTCCCCTCCCTCTGTTTCACCTTGTCATTTTATAGAGGAGGTGCCAGGGCAGTGCTCTGTATATCTCATCATCTGGTAGCAGTCCCTCAGAGTCCAGACTTGGATTCCCCTGTCGGCCTCAGCCCTGCCTAGGTAACGTCCTGCCAGCCTTCCCAGGACCTGCAGGGAAGCCCCGCCCACCAGTCGTCTGAGGTGCTTGGTTCCCCCAGGCTCAGCTGCCTAGGCCCAGGTGCTGCCCATGGGTACATGTGGCCCCTACCAGCTTTGCTTTTCACTCATCCTGTGAAACAGCCATCGTTAAGTGTGTCCTTCTGTCATTTATTAGCTGAAGCTTGGCACAGAAAAGATAGAATGAATAGAAAGACGGGGTGATAGACACCAGAGTAACAGACTCAGTCTCCAGGGTGGGGCGAGGCTGCTGTGTCTGCCGTGGGCGTCAGAGGGTTCCTTTCCTGTCGCTGGCAGCTGAGCTGAGACCCCAGGACGGGTGCTGGGTCGCACCATTGCGTCCCCTCCAGGTTGGGCTCACAGGACAGGAGTGACTCCAGCAGAGCAGCTGTCTTACATGCAAGAGGTCTGGGGTTACGTCCCCAGCGCTGCAGAGCAATGGACTTAGGCTCACAGTGTTTCTGCTTTGATTTCATGTTTGGTCTCTTTTATCCAGAGATACTCAGGGTGCCCGTTAGCTCACAGGCTTGGCCGAGGGTCAGGTTAAGAGGAGGGTCTTAGGTTAAGTTGGGTCTTTTAACAGTAACTGTAGGCTGGGGATATAGCTCAGCAGCACCAGCACCTGCCTGGCAAGTGCAAGGTCCTGAGTTTGATTTCCGGTACCCCCCCAAAAAAATGAGTAGTTATAGAATAGTTACCATGGTTCTGTAATCGCTTTAGAGCAAGACTGATAATTTTGCTGAGTGTGGCGGCTTTCAGTATCAAGAAGTCACTTTTTTCTCTCATTCCACTCAGTCGTCCATCGCAGCACCACATTGGCTCCACCCTGCCCTGTCCTCTCACCCCCATTTTGACAGAAGCAAACACAAAGGCCAGCTCTTTACCCTGGCACCTTCTAAAAACTGTCTTTAAAAGTCCAGAAACACCGGGTGTGGTGGCACCTGCCTGTATTCCCAGCACTCGGGACGCTGAGGCAGGAGGATCATTGCAAGCTCGAGACCAGCCTGGGCTACAAAGTGAGCTCAAGGCCAGTCTGAACTGCATAGCGAGAACCTGCCTCAAAAAGACAAAAGATAAATAAATAAAAAATTTTTAAAGACAAAAAAAAAAAAAAGCCCAGGAAATGGCGAAATTGGCCAGACGTGGTGGCGCACACCTCTGATCTCAGCACTTGGGAGGCTGAAGAAGGAGGATTGCTGTGAGTTTGAGGCCGGCCTGGACTATATAGCGAGACCTGTCTCAAAACAAAACAACCCGAAACCCTCAGAGGCCCCGGCCAGTGGAACATTGCTTCCCCAGGCAGGGCTGTGTGCTTTCCTCTGTCCCAGCACCTGGGTGTGCAGTGGCTCAGCTGCTCTCAGCACAGGGGGAGTCCTGGGCTGCATGCTCCCGTGATGCCAGTGTCCTGTGCCCCTGTTTTCTAGGAGCTGTACCCTGCGTTTTGCATTCACAACGGGGGCTCCGACCTGGAGCGGCTGCCCACAGCCAGCACCTGTATGAACCTGCTGAAGCTGCCCGAGTTCTACGACGAGACGCTCCTGCGCAGCAAGCTGCTCTATGCCATTGAGTGTGCGGCTGGCTTCGAGCTGAGCTGAGCTGAGCCGAGCCGAGCCGAGCCGAGCCGCCAGGCACCCTGGGCCGACCAGACTGCACCGCCTGCTCCACTGCGCGCTCAGCGCTCCCAGGCACCCACTTCTTCCCGGCCCCGCCCTCATCGCTCTAGGTGGTGGTATTACACGCGGCCATGTTCAGGTGCGCGTTGCTTCCCGGTAACCTAAGTAACTGTTAGGCGCCGTGTGGCTGGTCAGTAGCTTTGCCAAGAAGAGCAGTTTTAGCCCAGTGGCAGCGCCGTGAAATTAGCCAAAGATGAAGCTGTAGCTCTGTTGGCCCGGAGCGGGTCCGCCTGGCCGCAGCCACACAGCCCTCAGCACAGCCTGAGTCTCAGCACACTCTGCCCGTGCGCTCAATGGTTTACAGGCCTGGTTGGTAGTACTGAAGGCGTTTCATCCTGCTGCCTTGGCCCGAAGTGGTTGGGTTTGGAGAACAGATAATAGGAGTGTTACTTCGTGCTGTTTAAGCCATTTCCCCAGGCGGGACTAGCATGCTTGTGTCCACGTCACGTCGACCTGCCTTGTGACGGCTTGGATGTTGCTGTGTGGGGTGTGGTGCTGCCTCACTCCTCGCTTGTCTTCAGCTCCACTCTTCCTGGAGAGCTCCTGGGAGGCAGAAGAGGGTCCCGCGCCGTGCATGCGTGTCACCTGCAGTGAGTGGCCGCCGGGGAGAGGAGTTGCTGCAGCTTCTATTAAAGTCGTTTGAACCAAAGTGGTGGGCTGCATCTGTCCATCACCACAACCCTTGCTGGCCGGGCCACGCCACGCCGCCCCCTCCTGGGCACCCTGGGGTAACACGTGGGCCCTTGGTGCCCTCTACCCCAAACTGCTGCTTAGACACAAGGACAGTGTCCCCGGCGCATTGGGGCTGGGGGTGCTGGGTGATTCTCACGTAGGCACTTTATTGGGACCTGACGCGTCGCGGGGCGACTTCAGCTTCTGCAGGCAGCCAGCAGGCAGGAGCGCCAGCTGTGGCTCGGAGCATGCGGTGTGGACCACACGCGCGGACACTGGAGGAGGACCCCAGCCTGACCTTGCCACGCCTGGTGTCGCGTGGCAGGGTCCTGGGGCTGCTATAGGTTTCACCAGAACTAGCAATATACTTCTCAGTGTGCAGAAACTGATGACACTTTTACGACAATGACCATTAAAACAAATGTATAATTTCTTAATTTGAAAATAAATTAAGTGTTTAAATGCTATTTATAGTCTTGATATACAGAAATAAATAGTGTTTATCTGGTTTTATTTTTACTTTCTGCTGTTTATGTTGAACATTCTGTATCTTCTTACTAGTTGATTCGTGTATTTTGGCATCAGTATTTTCAAAGTGAAGTGTCTGAGACTGAAGAGAAATGGGCAGTTATGCTTACATTTCGTTGTCCCTTACGTATTTATTTGTGTGTTCGAATGGCTGAGTACTTGGGTTAAAATTTCTCCTGGACTCCTGCCCCAGGCCACTCACTGGTCGCATTCTGCTGTAGTGACACCAGGCTTCCGCAAGGTGACAGGCCTGTCACGGGCATCTGGGGCCGAGCCATCCGCACAGGCTGAGGACAGCCGCACCTGCTCTCGAGGGCGCCCCCTGGGTGGTTCAGCATTAGGCTGTTGAGGAGAATGCCTCCTAGGGGAGAACGTTGTTCGCCCTACTCTGCACCTGCTCTACGTGCAGGCCTGCCCGTTGGCCTTGGTATTCGAGGCGCTCCTCAGGAGCGGCCACCTGCAAGGGCCGTGCCTGGGGCCGTCGGTGTGCACAGGCCGCAGTCAGACCACGGCCCACGGCCCACGGCAGAAGCTGCTCCCCTCGCCGTGCTGCGTCAGAGCATGTCCAGGCCGTGCGCGCGGAGCCTGGGGGCGCAGGGAGGGCTCTGTGGGCAGCCTAATGCAGTGTGTGCGCTTTCTCAGACCTCAGAGAAAAATTAGCAGCGTGAAATAAAGGCGTAAGTGATTAAAATGAAACAAAACTCGGGCACTCTTTCTGGTTCTGCGCTGCATGTAAGAGAGCATGCCGTCAGCCCAGCGCCTGTGCCAGCACGGGGCTCCCGCACACGCTCACTCCCCGCTGGGTACCCCATCTCAAAGAAGGGCAGGGATGAGGCGCATTACTCCCTGGGTTCAGCCTCCGTACCAAGCAGTGAAGCTGCCTCCCCCACAGCAAAGCCCGGACTGGTGTGCCGCTCGGTGGTTGCCTACGTGACTCCGGACCTGGGTTCCATCCTTGGCCCTGCAAAACCGGAAAGAGCCCGGCCCTGACTCTTCAGTTCTTGGGCAAGAGGAAGCTACCGAAGAACGAGGGGAGCCCCCCGAGTGGCCCCTCATTCTAGTGTTCTGCCGAGTCCCGATTTCCCTCTGTTTTTGAAGGACATGTCCCACGGCTCGGGGCTGCTTGGGCTCCGGACAGCCCAGGAGGCTCTGCCCGGCAGACACTCGTCCCCAGCCTGTCGCTGTTGGCGAGGGTCCACACACACCGGCCCTGCAGTCAGGTGAGAGCCACCACGGGCATCAGTGGCGGGAGTTCCAGCTCTGCACCATGCCAGCCCTGCGCCTCCTGACCTGCCAGGACTGGGGACAGCAGCCAGGCAACCTGTGGGGTGCCCACCTGAGCACCCGGAGCTGTCCTGCCTCCTGGACTCGGCACTAGGCAGCAGCCAGTGGCACTGATTACACCCCGGGCCTTTGCCCTGCGCTGTCTGCGGCCACCACCACACCCTCCGCCTTTTTTGAGACAGGGTCTCACTAAGGTGCCCAGCCTAGGCTCAGACTTGCTGTTCTCAGCTCCCTGAGTGCTGAACTTGTGGGTGAGGGCGTCCGCGCGTAGCTGGGAAGACTGTTTCTCAGAGAATTAGCGTGGTGTGTGCAGAGCTTCCTGTGGCCACCGTCACAGCTTGCCACAAGCTGGCTGGCCCGAAGCAGCAGCATTTGTTGTGCAGGCCAGTGTCGGAAGCGCAGGGGTCTGGGCCCCACTCCCTCCGCTGCTCCAAGGAGACCGTCCAGTGCTTGCTGCGCCCTCTGGTGGCCTCGACCCAGTCCCTGCCTTCGCGCTGCCTCTCCCCGGACAGCTGTGCCTTGGAACTAGGACTCACCCAGACCACCCAGAATGGTGGCCCAGCCCTCAGGGTCTGCCAGGTACATCTGCAGAGTGTTCTCCCCAGTAGAGCGACGCTCTCAAGCCCTGGCTGCGAATGTGGCCGTCCCGGAGGTGCCCAGGCCTCTGCGTGTGCTGGGCTGGTGCCCAGGGCCCCTCCTGCTGTCTGCGGGCTGGACCGTGGCCACCGTCGCCTTGCCACGCGGCCCCCAGGCCCCACACCGAAGGTCCTCATGAGCAGCGCTCCGTGACTTGGATCACAGTCCCTAATGCGTTTTTTGTCCCTGCCACCCACACCTGCCGACGGGCCGCTGCCTGTCCTGTCGCTGTGCCCGGCAGCTCCGCGCACAGTGCCCCTTGCCACCTCGTGTCTTTTGTGGCACTGCTGTCCGTCTCACGCACACTGTATCTGCCCGTTCCCCTGTCCTGCAGGTCGCTCGGTGCTGTGGGGTCTCGGTGTGCTGACGGGCGTCACAGGTGCTTGCAGGAAGCAGTGGCGCTGTCCCTGGAGAGCTTGGTAACCAAGCTCGATCCGGTGAGTGCCCGGACTGCTGCTGCTTTGGCTCTTCTGCCCGGGCTCTGCGTTCCCTGTTGGGCGGGGCAGTGCCACCTGGTGGCCCTAGCGGGACATTGCAGTTGGACTACATCTGTAAAATGTTCGCCTGCTTCTCGGTCCACAGCACCCATCTGTGCCTTGGTCATGGGGTGGCTGTGAAAACAGCGGGAAGGCCGCTGCTCCAGTCCTGTGGCCTTAGCTCCTGGGCCTGGAGGAAGAGCGGAACGAGGACCTGTGTCCCATGTCACATGCGCCATGTCCCGGAGGGGCCTGTGATCCTAACGCCCTGGGAGGCCCAGGCAGGAGAGTTGCAAGCTTGTCGGGCAACTTAGTGAGACCCTGCCCCCAAGTAAAGTTTTTAAAAAGGGATGGGGCCGGGCATGGTGGCGCATGCCTGTAATCCCAGCACTCGGGAGGCTGAGACAGGAGGATCGTTGTGAGTTCGAGGCCAGCCTGGGCTACAAAGTGAGCTCAAGGCCAGCCTGAACTGCATAGCGAGACCCTGTCTCAAAAAAAGACAAAACCCAAAAAGACAAAACAAAGGGGCTGTAGCTCAGTGAGAAGACCCTGGGTCCCATCCTCAGTCACACACACCCCTTCCCGGGGGGAACGCACAGTGCCTGTGGCAGTGGCGGAGACGGGGAGGGGAGGGACGCTGACCGAAGCGGCTGGGGCTGGGGTGGTGGCTGTACAGCTGTGTAAAGCAGCGACTTGACAGTACGTGAGTTGTGTCTCCATCAGCCTGCGCCTGCAAGCCCCGTTACTGCGCCCCGTTACTGCGCCCCGTTACTGCGCGTTGGTGAGGTGGGGTCCCGAGGTGAGGGTGCAGCCGACCTGCCTGGGCCGGCTGAGCCCCTGCCCCGGCCTCTGCCTGCATGTTGGCTCTGTGTGCTCTGCTGAGGTTGGCCCCCCTTGTTGCGTTCTCACGGGGCCTTGGCGTAGGACAGCACTTTCGACAAGGGATGCCACCAGAACTTGGGGATCCCCCTTGTCCCCCAGCCACCTCCCAGAGGCCCACATTTTAGAAGCAGGGCCTTGGGGTCCACAGATGAGAGCCACCCCAGCAGGCTGGATGCTGCGTTGAGGGGAAGCCGAGTCACCACGGGGAAACAGCATCACACAGCCTGGGCTCTTGGTGACACGGCGGGGGGCGGGGGGGGTGCTCAACCCGAAGGCAGGGCTGGCAGGACAGCCTGCAGAAGCTTGGCCTGCTGTGGCCCTTGGTGGGTGATTCTGGGGTTTTCCTGAGTACCTTGACTTTTCTGTGGTGCTCAGGGTCTTGCTGGTTTCTGTCACTACCGTCACAGATGGCCATGCAGAGAGCTAAACAGCAGCACATAATCCCAGCACTCGAGAGGCTGAGGCAGGAGGGTTCTGAGTTCTAAGCCAGCCTGGGCTGCATAGTGAGACCATGTCTCAAAAAAACAGCTCTCTTTGCCGGGGATATAGCTCAGCAGCACAGCGCCTGCCTGGCAAGCGCAAGGTTGTGAGTCTGATTCCCGTTACCAAACAAAAAATAAAAAAACAGCTCTCTGTTCCTCCCTTTTTGCACTTGTTGCTTTTGCTGTTTTCTGCCACCGTGAACTGTAGCCCTCTGCCATGTGCCACCCTGCCTTGAAGCCAGCCAAGGATGAACTGAAACCTGCATAGACTGTGAGCTAAATAAACCTTTTCTTCCCTAAAAAAAAGAAAAAAAAAAAAAAAAACACTAAAAACAGCACAGGGAGCTGGGCGTGGTCATGCACACCTGTAATCCCAGCACTAGGGAGGCTGAGGCAGGAGGATCGTCACGAGTTCAAGACCAGCCTGGGCTACAAAGTGAGCTCAAGGCCAGTCTGAACTGCATAGTGAGACCAAGACCCTGCCTCAAAAAGAGGAAAAAAAAACAAAAAAAAAACCACTTGGGGCCCCACCCGCTACAGTGTGGAGCCAGGGTCCCCTGCAGCCGGGCCTGCTTCCCAGCCCATGGGAGTTTCTGTGTGCAGAGCACCCTGTGACCTGTCTGAGGGGACCCGGAGCTGAGCGTGCGCTCCGTTGCCCGCAGTCCCTTTGGGGCTGGGGGCATCACAGTCCCTCCAGCCCACGCTCCGCTGACTGCGACCGCACAGGCCCGGGCCCACCTCGAAGCTCGGACAGAGCTGGCCACACCAGGTGTGCCGTCACACCCCCTCCAGCACCCTCGGAAACGGCTCGCCCACAGCCACGGCAGCACACGCTGGTGCTTCCTGTGGCCTCATGCAGAACAGCCGCGCGCCGCCGTCACACAGGCCTGTCACACACACCGTCGCTGCTGCCTCCTCCATGCATGCGGGGTGTCCCGCGCAGCCCTGGGGTTCCCCAGGATGAGGACCATAAGTGCCCATCAAGGCAAAGCCTGTACTGCATACTTTGGGTGTTTTTAAAAAGGAAGTGTATCCGGGTGTCGTGGCACACGCCTGTAATCCCAATACTCGGGAGGCTGAGGCAGGAGCATCACTGCCAGTTCAAGGCCACCCTGAACTGCATAGTGAAACCCTCCCTCACAAAGAGAAAAAAAAATAAAAATAAAAAGCTCTTTTCTGAGGAGGCCGCACCTGTCTACACAGCCTAGGACATCGGATTCCGGATCGTGCTGGTAGCCAGGGAGATGTCCGGGAAGGTCATACGGTTATAGGAGGCAGCTTGTCAGCTGGGCTGAATCATCTGGCTGTGCAGGCACTTGAGGGCTCAGGGTGTCTCGTGCAGCCTCTGG